TGAGCAGTACTCCATTTTATAAAAAAAAAAAAAAAAAAAAAATCTTCTTCATCCGGTTTCCAGCTAATGGCTATTTGGGCTGCTTCCAAGCTTTAGCTATTACAAACTGTGCCGCTATGAACATGGGTGCACATATATCACTGTGGTATGATTCTTTTAATTCTTCTGGGAAGATACCCCGAGACATGCTGATTTCAAAAACCCAGTGAGAAATCAAAGCCAATTTATTCAATAAACTATATTTTGAGTTCATAAAAAATCAAGTTTAGTAATGTAATAAATTAAAAATGTTCACAAATTATTCGTATCTCTTTCCATCAAGAGGGGAAATCTTCCTGGTCTCTAAAGGTAGAAGGACACAGGTAATAATTTGCTTTGTCTCAAAGAAAGCAATAGGATCATGTTGTGCAACCATTGACCTTAGGCACAAGACAGGCTTGCCCCAAGAGTGTCCTTACCCCAGGGAGAGGCTGCTGGAAGTTGGCACCCAGCACCAACCCACAGGCATGGGGGTAGGCACCTCAGAGATACCAGCCTCAGCCGAGTCTCCAGATATCTAGATACTCATAAGCAACCCCAGAGGAGGCCAACAGTAGCCTCTGCTGAATCTATCCTGAATTTCTGACAGGAATAAGTGAAAAGCTTTTGGCTGTAAAGAGCTAAGTTCTCGAGTGGTTTGTTTCACAGCAGCAGATAACAGAAATAGTTTTCAGTCTCCTTTTTTTCCATTAAATTGCTAATTATTACTTATGCCGTGAATTTGACCTCTACTATGCCCTATCATTACAAATCCTTTTACAAGGGCATGACATGTTGGCTCCTCAACCATATTCTAAATGCCTACAAGGCAGAAATTACTTTTCTGAATCCTCAGTAATACCATAAATAGAACACAAGTTTTATTACTATTAATTGATTGCCTTGAAAAATAATATAGGGAACAAATAAGCATTTAAATACATCAAATCTAAAATACTACCAAGAGGTGGAGAATATTGAAAACAATATATGTTTGTATATAGGCTATTTTTAAAAGTATTTAATAAATGTTGAATGATACAGTATAAAAACAACTTGAGCACTGTGAGTAGACAGTAGCAGAAAAGTAAGAGTTTCTTTTAAAAACAAGAATTTCTCCCTTTTGTTCCCTGGTAAATAATTTTGCTTTTGTTCCTTTTCTTCTTAGCTTATTTCTTTTAACTTCTTCTAATTGGTCTGTGTATGCTTCCTTTTGCTTTAATTATATTTCCATTTTTTAAATTCCCTTTTTAAAATTCTTGTAAAGCTTTAATTTTTGCTATGAAAATACAAAGTCCGTGTCGCCTACATAGTGTACAGCTTGCTCAAGATAAACAAATGATGGAACAAAACTGTTTTTTCCAAGAATTCTCCAACAACTTCTGGACCCCTAAATGTCCCTTCTTCCACACTGTTTTAAACTGTACTATCTTATGTATTTCATAACAGTGGAGAGCCAACCTAGTCTATGGTTTCTTGGAAGTGAGCATTAATTAGGTCCAGCATGTCTTTTTAGAAGCCTGACTTGGTTAATTTTTCAAGACTCATATCTTTTGAATGATTAAAAAATCATTTAGCCACAGAAGTTTACAATTGGTTTTTCCTAGAAATATTTAAATATAATCAAGTTATCCCCTAAAATATTGGTTAAATACATCACAGGAGGAAATGAGAATAATTTAAGACTATTAATGTCAACAAATGTGACTTTCTCTATTTTGTGTCTTCCAAGAAAATACCTTTGATACATTGAAATTCAGTGTCCCTATTTTGCTGGGAAATGTAAGTTCTTATTTGTGGAAGGAAATGACATTTCTATTTTTTAAAAAATACATCTCAGGGTTATTTCACTTTTCCAGTTGCTTGAAAATAAATCTCTTTATAAGATGTTGCCAAGGTAGATAGCGATTTGATCAATGGTAGTGCAGAAATTCCAGTTATTAGCCAGCCTCTTTTTTTCAGTTCATTAGAGAAAGCAAGTGTTGTTACCCACAGCCTAATTCCTTTTGTCTAAGAGGAGAAGCCAGCCACTTTACTAATCTACAGGAGAGCATCAAACAGTTATTTCCAATGTTTAAATGTCTCAGTGATCCCTAACTTTATATTACTATCAAAGTGACTCAACCTATCTTTTGACCCAGGTATAAATGAAATTGTCTAAATATCAGCCATTTCAGTGAAATTGCCTCGATTGACTTGTTATTTGGGATATCATCAAGACAGAATGTTGTTCTTTTAAGGCCATATTCTGCTCAGGATGGCTGGGGTGTGTGACTGGCTCCACCAAGGCAGCAACAGAGACAAAACAGTTAATTTGACTAAACTGGCTTTGCTAGCTTCCTGATTCACTATAAGGCTCCCTCCACCCTCCTCAGCCACACTATGATATTGATCTTTCATAATAATTTTTGACCTTGTACATTCCAAGTTTACACACATTTTTATCTCCCTTCCCATTTCTCTCCCATTCTTTAAGTAATGGCCATTTTAGGAGTAAGTGACAGAATAGTAACTGGGAGTGCCAAGAGCCTATAATGCAAGATTTCACTCACCCATAGTCTCCTTTGTTGATGTGTTCAATTAATTCTGGGCGGACAAGGCATGTATGCTGGGAACATTTCCAGTGCTGTCCTGAGCATGTGCTGCAAATATATAAAATAAGAGTAGCCCAATCTTCTGCAGAGTACATTTCAAAATTAGTAACACGAGTTGCAATTGTTAAATGGTAAAATATAATTCTTGATTAACATAAATCATATGGTTATTTGATTCATGTTTGAAATAAATCACTTAATAAAAACTTGCACTAGCTATCATTACTCATGTGCCCTTGTCCTCTGCTTCAAGCAATTAGTGAATGATGTAACTATATACCCATTGAAATGTTTTTAAATGGGACAATTTAGACAGTAGCTCAGTGTATTTGGACACTATCTGCATTCTGATCCTTTTTAAATGGCCTGTTTTTATGTACGGAATTACGCTTTAAACACACACACACACACACACACACACAATTTGTCTGTGCTGTATCAAAATGTTTTGAATTAATAGGTATACTTAATGTAGGCTTGTAGTATATTGAAGGCTCATTATCAAAAATATCAGATTGAAGCTTTAAAAGTTATACACATTAACATATTTATAACATGCTTTACTTATGCTCACAAAAATTTACTGGGTGTGTGATGTCTTATGTGCTTCTGTCTATATGTGTTCAAATATATGCTTAATTTCATTGATGTTGCTTTTATTTGAAGAAAACATGAACAACAGTTTAATTCAATTCTATGTTACTTAAATTCATTACCAGGAGTTGCAGTTTTCTTTAATTACTGATCCTTCTTCATAATGTTGCCCATCTTTGAAGCAACCTGTCAACATAACATGTAAACAAATAAAAATTCTAAACCCAGTAAAGTACATCAGCATGACAAGTAATCTAAAACTGCAGTTAGTTTTGAATCATACAAAAATATTTGGTGCCAGGCTGATGTAAATCTGCATCTGGTTTGTGTGAGGGTTTACATATCAAATTCTCCTGGGCCTAGTCCATGAGCTTTTATCTTCAAACAGCATGTTATGTTCCAATGGAGAAGATTTGTAAAGCATGAAAAATAGATTACCAAGGAATTATTAGATAACTACGCCTGAAAAATAATTTGTGTGTTTAAATAGGTAACCAAAGTAACAGTATTTAAGTCAATTTATTAATATTAAAATATTAATCAAGTTTAATAAGTGATTATAATTAATTACACCTGACTAGAACAAGTATCACATAGTTGTGAACCAAAATACAAAGCTCATTTCACTGAATTTATCTTTAACATGAATTCTATTTTTTTTCAGGATTTGGACCAAGAGAAAATTTCATGAAATCAATTAAAATATAGCTATTTGTCCTCAAACCCCATATTTTTTTTTCTTTTTTTTTTTTTTTGGTACCTGGGATTGAACTCAGATCCTTGTGCTTGCGAGGCAGGCAGCAGAACCACTGAGCTAAATCCCCGGCCCAGCCCATATATTTTTAACAATTAAATTGATTAACTGGTTTATAAGATTATAAAAACTACTAAAAAGAGACCAAAGGTTAATCATCATTATATGAAAACTCATCAGTCAGATATTTTGAAATAGTACCGAGTTTATAAATTAAGTCATTTTTGAAAATACAATTTGCACAAATTTAACACAATTAGCAATTACTTTGGTAAAATTTTTTTAAAAGGATATGTAATTGATGTATCCCATCAATAGTGCCTGATTAAACAAAACAAAATCTGAACTTTTATTCATTAAATTATACAGGGGATATGTTTATAAACTTTCCAAGGGATTTGGTTTACCTGTTAGCCATAATGTCACAAAAACTATGACTCTAACTAGCTATCCTTTAGCCTTTCAAAAATTGTTTCATAGAAAATATTTCACAATTGCCAAATTCCAGCCCATAGTGTTTTACCCTTCAATATTCTACTTAATGAATCTACATCACTATGCATTTGCCCCCACTCACCCTTCCTTCCACATGGTGTTTGAGACTCTAATCCTGGAGTAAGAGAGGGTATCGCCTATCTCCTTACCACATGCTTCTTAATAGAGCCAAGTCTATCTAGTAAGAGGAAGCTTCATGGTTTTATTGCTATGTTTTGATATATAATATATACATTCATTTGGGGTAATTGTACATATAATATCTAGATCATTTTCAATTCACTTTCCCTGCCATCAGCCTCTCTTTTTCCTCCTTTCCTAGATCCCCTTTTCCATCTCCAAAAAGTTTGCCTTCTTCTTCCTACCATCTCTCCTTTATTTTACTCTGTAATATATTGATATTTTGTGTTTTTATGTAAGAAAAACCCTATGATATTTAACTTTCCGTGTCTGACTTATCTCACTTAACATTGTGGTTCACAATCCATTAATTTTCCTCCAAAAGACATGAATTCAGTCTTCTTTCTGGATGGATAAATTTTCATTGTGTGTATATGCCACATTTTCTTTATCTACTTGTCTCTTTATGGCATCTGCATTATTTTCAGAGCTTAACTATTGTAAATTGTGATGTCATAAATTTGGATATGCATGTATCATTTATAGTATGATGACTTTAACTTTTTCAGGAATAAGCCTAGGAGAGATATAGGTGGGTCAAATGGAATTCCCACTTTTAGTTTTTTGAAGAATCTCCATACTGATTTCTATAGTAGTTGTACTACTTTACATTCCTACCAAAAATATAGAAGGTTCATTCTTCCTTTGCATCTTCAACAGCATTTGTTTTTGTGTTCTTGATAATAGCAATTCTGACTCCAGTAAGACAGAATCATAGAGTTATTTTTATTTTCATTGCCTTAATGGCTAAAGATGTTGAACATGTTTTCATATATGATTGGCAATTCACAATTCTTCTTCAAAGAAGTGTCTATTTAGTTCATTTGCCCATTTTTAATTGGGCCATTTGTTTACTAGGAATTTTTTTGAGTTCTTTATCTATTCTGGATACTATTCCTCTATAAGAACAGTAGCTGGCAAAATTTTTTACCCATTCTACTGGGTATCCACATGCAGAAGGTTGAATCCCTATATCTTTCCATGTACTAAACTAAAATCATAATAGATCAAAGAACTAAATGTTAAAAAAAAATTTAACATGATGGGAGATAAAATACATAAAACTCTTGAAAAGTCATAGTCATAGTGAAGGACTTTCTGAACAGAATCTGGTTGCACAGGAAATAGCAAGAATCAACAAGTGGGATTCATATCAATTTGAAAAGCTTCTGCACAGTAAAAGAAACAACCAAGTGAAAAGAAAATCTATAGAATGAGAAAAAATTTTACTATTTATTCCTCAGATAGAAGAATCAGATCTAGAATATCTAAAGAACTCAAAAATTTAGAACTTCCAAAATGAAAAACCTAATAAAAAAATAGGCAGGTGAAATGAATAGATACTTCACAGAAGAAGTAAAAATGGCCAATAAATACATGAAGTAATGCTCAAAATCACTGGCCATTAGAAAAATATAAATTAACATAATACAGAAGGGTCCATCTTACCCTAGAAACAATGGCCATCATGAAGAAATCAAATAACAACAAAGCCTAGAGAGGATCCAGGGGAAAAGGAACCCTTCTACAAATGTTGGTGGGAATGTAAACTAGTGCAACCACTATGGAAATCAGTATGGAAATTCCTCAAAATATTAAAACTAGAAATTCTATTTGACCCAGTTATTCCTTTTCTAGATATCTTCCTGAAAGAGTTAAAGATATAATATTACAGTGATACATGCATATCTGTGTTCATAACAGTACAATTCAATAGATAAATCCTGGAAGCAGCCCATATGTCCATCAACAGATGAGTGGGTAAAGAAAATGTAGTATTTACAAGCAATGGGGTACTCCTTTACCACTAAGAAAGATAAATTTGAATCATTTTCAGAAAAAAATGGATTCCCCTTGAGATTGTAATGGTAAGGGTAATAAATCAGACACACAAGATTAAATACCATATTTTTTTTTATATGACAAACCCAAAACATAGCAAAATAGAAGAAAGATAATAGGAAGTAGGGCAATAGATCCTTCTCAAATGGGAAGAGAATCTAGAGATGGAGGGGGGAGGGATGGCAGGGGAAGGGGACAGAAAAAAAAATAAGACATGTTGTGTACATGTACTAATTTCACACAAACAATGGAAACATTATGTACTGCAAACATGTACTAATAAAAAAGCTAAAAATACAATTGTTCCCATTCTGCACATTGTCTCTTTACTGTGTTGACTGTTTCCTTTGCTGTGTAGAAGCTTTTTATTTTGATATAATCACATTTGTTGATTCTTGGTGATATTTCTTATGGTATTGGAGTTCTGTTCAGGAAGCGCAAGCCTATGCCTACACCTATGGATTCAAGTGTTTCCCCTATAGTATCTGCAGTACTTTCAAGATTTCTGTTTTTATATCTAGATCTTTGATCCATTTTTATTTGATTTTAGTATAGGCTGAGATAAGGGTCTAGCTGCATTCTTTTGCACATGCATGACTAGGTTACCCTGCACATTTTGTTAAAGAGGTTATCTTTACTATAGCATGTGTTGTTGGGCTCTTTGTCAAAGTCCACCTGCCTGAAAGTGGATGGGGTTTTTTTCTGTTTCTTTTATTCTCTTCCATTGGTCTACTCTTTTATTCCATTCCACATCTATTTGTGTGCCACTACTGTGCATTTTTTACTATAATTTAGCACTTTGTATCTTGCCACTTTGCTAAATTTGTTTATTAGCTGTAAGTCTTCTGGTGGAGTATTTCTGGATTTCTATTTTGATGATCATGTCAATAAAAATAGTTTGACTTATTCCTTTCCTATTTGTATCCTTTCTATTTCTTTTTCTAGCCCAATTGCTCTGGCTAAAGTCTTGAGTACTGTATTGAAGAGGAATGGTGAGAGTGGAAAGATACCACTGTCTCATTCCTGACTACAGTAGGAAATCTATCAGTTTTTCCCTACTTAGCATGACATTGTCGGTGAGTTTTTCATAAAGACTTTTTATTATTTTGAGGTAAGGTCCTTCTACACCTGTTTTCATGAAGGTTTTTATCATGAAAGGATATTGAATTTTGTCAAAGATTTTCCTGCATCTATTGAGACGATCATGTGATTTGTTTTTGTTTTTTGTTTTGTTTTGTTTTTTTGTTTTTGTTTTTTGGTACCAGGTATCAAACTCAGGACTTTGTGTTTGCAAGGCAGGCATCAGAACCATTGAGCTAAATTCCCAGCCCTGTTTTTTTATTCTTGATCCTATTTATGTGTTGTATTATATTTATTGATTTGTGTATGTTGAATAATCCCTACATACCAGGGATAAAACCAATGTGGTTATGGCATATGAACTCAAGTATCATTGGATTCTATTTGTGAAGGTCTTATTGAGGAATTTTGGGTCAGTAGTTTTCTCTTTTGGTTGAGTCCTTATCTGGTTTTGTTGTCAGCACAATGCTGGCTTCACAGATAAATTTGGCAGCATTTCTTTCCTTTCAATTTCATGGAAGAGTTTGAGGAATGGTGGTGTTAATTCTTTTCAGAAGTTATGGCAATATTCATATTAATCTATCAGTTCTTGAGATTTTCTTAGTTGGTAGAGTTTTTATTACTGTATCAATTTTATTAGCTGTTATTGGTCTATTCAGTTTTTATATCCTGCTTCAATTTTGGTAAGTTATATGTGTCTAAGAATTTATCCATTTCTCCTAAAGTCTTCAACTTATTAGAAGATAGTTTATCAAAATAGTTTCTTATAATCCTTTGGATTTCAATCGTATCTGTTGTCACTTTACCTTTTTCATTTCTGTCTACCTTGATCTGG